AGAACAGCAATATCAGGAAGGCCGTAGGTTAGTCCTCCCTGTCCTAAATGGCTTTGGATCCTGGATATATAAAAGGAGCATCTACTCCTGTCCTGCATCAGTTACCAGAGAAGGTCCTGCTTCGTGTTCCAGTGCCATCTAAGATGAGACACATAGGACAGGGCCTTCTCAGTGGTGGTGTCCAGAAATTCTTTGTCTGTTTTCTCCCTTTTTGCTGTCAAGCACTGCATAGCTGTCAAGCACTGAGACAGCACTGCATAGCATGTTCAAGGCACTTGGAGGCAATGCTGGGTTTGAGGGGAGCTCAGGCCTTGAGGATTCCCTCCAACTTTGGCACTGCATCCACCCCAGCATTTGCATGCACACACTTGCATGCCTTGCTTGGCTTTTTGTAGTCACACTGCTGTCACATAAAACACACTACTGCTGCTACCACCAGCTCACTGCTTCTGGCAGTTTTTCAGGCACTTCTGGTCCCAGGGTCCCTGGACTTATGGGGGGACAGACGTACGCCCTTTGGTCCATGGCACATCATCTGCTTTGCATGCAAAAGGTCCCAAGTAGAATGCCCAGCACTTCCATGTAGGGCTGAGAATGTCCCCTCTCTGAAACCCTGGAGAGTTGCTGTCAGTGTAGACAACTCTAAGCTAGATGAACCTCTGGTCTGACACTGCTTCAGGTGGCTTTTTATGTTCCTATGCCACTGAAAGCACTTGCTGAGAATTTAAATTAGCTTGGCAAATATAAGATGGGGGACTACATGGCTTGCTAGTAGTCAAAGGCTCTAAGGGTCTTAGCAGACCACAGGCTGGACATGAGTCAACCGTGTGATGCAACAGCAAAAAAGCAACAACCTAATTCTCTTTTAGGCTGCATCAACAGAAATATAGTGTCTTGGGAAATAATAGTACTACTCTGTTCTGCCTTGGTCAGATCACACCCGGAATACTGTGTCCAGTTCTGGGCATCACAATTAAAGAAGGATATCGATAAGCTGGAATGGGTGCAGAGGAGGGCAACCAAGATGATAAAGGATCTAGAAGCCAAGCTTTATGAGAAACAGTTGAGGGAGTTGGGTAGGTTTAGTCTAGTAAAGAGTAGACTGGGAGGTGATATGATAGCCATCTTCAGACATATCAAGGGCTATCACATGGAAGATGGGGCAAGCTTGTTTTCTTCTGCGCTGGAGGGTAAGACCCAAATCAATGGATCCAAGTTATAAGGAAGGAGATTTCAACTAAACATCAGGAAGAACTTTCTGAATGTCTGAGCTGTTTGACTCAGATCAAACAGGAGGTTCTGGATTCTCCTTTATTGGAGGTTTTTAAGCAGAGGTTGGATGGCCATCTGTCATGGATGCTTTAGTTGAGATGTGTGCATTTCATGGGGTTGGACTAGATGACCCTCGGGACCCCTTCCATCTCTATCATTTTATGATTCTTTGCTTTTTTTGATATTATTAAGCATCATCATCATTATCATGTTCCTACCAGTGATTTGCGGCTTGTTTTATGAGGGATTTTAAACTGGTTTTGTGTGCTTGGTTGGTATTGGGATTTCCTCATTTCTGCTTAAAAAAATAAAATAAAATCCAGGGGAGCAGAGCTTAGCCAGGTTCAGCTTCCTTGGGAAGGAGGTGACTACAGTCCTTGGGAAGGAGGCCTACAGTGTTTTGTAGTATCTGAATTACAAATGTACAGACAGAGCATAGGTGGAGACAGACGCCTGAACACCCCGTCAGGCAGCCAAAGCCACTTCCACACATCAGGTCTCCAAAGTAGCTGCCCCCCTCTGTCAAAGCAAAATGCTTCTAAGCTGACTCTTTCACTGCAAAACTCCAACTACAGTCTCCCCCATTTGTTCCCTTCCACAGACAGACACACAGCTAGATTACCTCATCCTTACCTAGGGTGATATGCCCCCTTTCATAACCTTCCTTCAATTTTCTAGCCAGAACACTGCAGAGTGGTCCTGTATCAAGAAGCAATGTTCTAACAATTAGCTCCCATGGAGACAGAGCACCCAGGCTAGTAACTCTCCTTTTGTCAAGTCCAAAACACTGCCCAGGTATGACCTTAAGGAAACCCGCTAGGATAGTCCTATGCACTGATCAGAACCGCATAGCAGGATCTGTGTTTGTTTTGATGATTTCTAACCACCTTTAGGATTGTATTATGTTCTCGCCCTTCGCTTAAATTAATAATAACACCAGTGGATAGCTCGTTTTACCAAAGAACATACGCATGGTGCCTGCCTATTCCCCTTTGTCTGATACTCTAGTCTAGGATGCTTTTGTACAATATTGTAACAATTACTATGTTTATTTCGAAACTCTCAAGAACTCAGGAACTGAATATGTGGAGGCTTGGCTGGAACCATTATTGGTCTCATTCCAACACCAAGGTCACTTAAACATAAGACCTATTCACTAAAACATTTTTCTCACAAGGAGGGTGGCTGCCAGATACAGCTTTTTTTGAGCTGCTTGCATTGATTTCCCTCCCCACTGGTTATTGGATTTTATGTGAAGTGGTAATTTTTGCGATTTTTTTACAGTGTATGTTGTATGGTCATTTTATTTATTGTCACCAGCCCGAAGGTCATCTGATATACAACTGACAGAATTGTAGAGTTGGAAGGGACCATGAGGGTCATCTGGCCCAACAATGGCCCAGCAATGCAAGAATCTTTTTGCCCACTGTGGTGCTCGAAACCATGACCTTGAAATTAAGTGTTTCATGCTGTACCAACTGGGCTATTTGGTTGTTACTATTACTACTACAGTGCCTGGCGTGCTCTGGTCCATGGGGTCACGAAGAGTCGGACACAACTAAACAACAACATTACTACTACTAATACCTAAAAACATAAAACACCCCAGGTTCAGATAACAAGGCGGGGAAAGACCATTCCTTGAGCTCTTTTAAGCTGTTGCCCATCAGTATACAGTAGACAGTGCTGAGCCTTATGGACCAATGGTCTGGTGATCCTGCATGTCTCCTCTGAGCTGCCCATAGAACTCCCAGATCAAGCATTGGACTATGCAGCTGTTCTGCTCTAACCAGCTTCAGTGATCTTGCCAGCTTGAATCAGTCAAACATGGAGGCCAAAGTGTGCTCCTCATTGTTCCGTTTAATAACTTTTGATAGCTCTGTTCTCTGGAAATGTGCCAGCCTTTCTCTGAGATTATGAGTAACCCAAAGGGAAAGGGTTGAGATAAAAAGAAAGAAGTTGAAATGGATGCTTTCAGCCTTAAGACTGAAAGCCTAATAGGTCCCAGAACCCTTTCCTCATCCTTTTCGTCTGTTTCCTGCCCCAATGGGCTTAACTATGCTGACTCACATTGTCATTCTAAAATGAATAATTAAATGTACTGCTGAATTCAGCAATTAGCTAACACCTAAATGCATCATTAAATCAATGTAGTCAAGGCCCATATCCTGTTGAAACACCCTATGGATCATGGTGAGAACCAGGAAGCTACCTACATATAACCATATCCCTTGGTGATTATTACCATCAAGGTATACTATAGTATACCAAATTATTTACTGCTACTTATTTACAGGAAAAAGGACTACAGAGTATATTTGCTGCCTTTATGTATCCTACCTTTCTTCCATGGGGTTGTCAAGAGCTCAAGGTGGCATGTATGAGGGATAGAGATGTCAGAGAATTCAGAGGCAAACAGAAAAGGAAGTAGTTTGTTTTCTGCAGTTTTTAAAAGAAATTAAACCCAGACCTTCCTGGTCCAAGTGCAACAGCAGGAATGGGGAACCTCAGGCTTGGGGGTGAATGTGGCCTTCCATATCTTTCTGCCTGGCCCTCAGAACTCTCCCTAGGCCACACCCTCACACACCCCCACCCACTTTTTTCCCACTTTTTGCCTTCTTGGTATGTGTCCTTGAACTGTGACGATGCCTCTCACTTTGCTTGTCTGGAGGATCTATTCTACAGTACAAAGGTTGTAGTTGTACAGTTGTTGGTTTGCCCACTTTTGCCTCTATCCCTTAGGCTCTCCTACCACTGGCAGGTGGCCCTTAGGAAGCTGCCCTGGGGCTGAAAAAATTGCCCCATTGCCAGCTGTACAGAGACTCAGGCAGCATAAGGGGCAGTGCGAGGGGCCGAGCATTAAATCTCCGGTGGTTTTTATTGTCCTGAAATGCCGCCTCCACGTCACTGGGAAGTCAAAAATGTCAAGGCAAAATTAAAAATTCCACTTTGAGCCGACCTTTCAAACTGATGTGTAGCTATATGCTCCTTTTCAGCAGGAAATGTCAAAGCTTTCCATTTCTACTATTCGCCAGATGGATTCATGCTGAAAGTTTTCTTCTATCAAGGGTTCCTGCATGATAGTTTCATTACAGTGTATAAAATATCGCTCAGGGAAGAGAAAAGGGAAATGGCGGGTTATCAAGGCAGCCGCTGGCACTTTGATGGTAGTGACTCCACCTCAACTGTTCTTGACAGGTGCTCACGCAGCCCCTGTCTCCCCGTATCCTGACCCCTCCAGCTAAGAACAGATTGCCTTCTAAAATGATGCCCATTTATCTTTTGGTAGCCCAGCTAACAATAACTGTTGGTTGAGCCTCTACGTCATTATAACCTCATGCTACTATAGCTCAAAGCTGGCTGCTTTACATGATTTCCTGTGGAAGGCCTGGTTGTGGCTTAATTCTGTGCAAGTTGGGTGTCCTGCTGTGCCAAAATGGTTCTGCATACAGTCAGGGCATTTTCTTTTCTTCCAAATCTGCAAGGCTGAGTTCTGCTACCTCATAAAGCAGGAATGGGGACTCCAGCTATATTCTGGGGCACAGCTATTGGACACTAACTCCCACTAGCCCTAACCAGCATAGTCTAAGGTTCAGAAATGGTGGGAATTGTAGTCCAGAAACATCTGCAGAACCACAGGTCTCCCACCCCATGTTATAAAGGCTGTGACAAGCGAATAGAAATGGGTGGGGATAGTATAATACTAACTGGTTTTCTTTTGTCTACAGTGGCTATGAATTTGACTACGACTACTACAGAGATGACTTCTATGACAGGTAAGCAGATTGAAAGGAGCAAGTGAAACACCTTGAGTTGAGCTGGCAGGAATGGAATAATGCATTTCTGGGGCTCTGAAAGAAGTGCACTGTGTTAATTGCTCTGCATTCAGCTGATGGGGATAGATTTTTAAAAGGCACAAGAGACAAATCCCAAACCCATCAAGGAGGAGGAGCATAAAGGTGTACCATGAATTCCTCCCATGGTTGCAAAGGCAATCAGGGATGCGACTGGGAACAGCCCTTGGTGCTTTTAAAACTCAGGTTTCATGTTCCACATCCACATGCTTTTTTCATAATGCCCATCTTCCTGCTCTCCCTCTTTCCTGCCTCCCTTTATTATTCTTTCCCCTGCTCTCTTGGAGTCGTTCACATACTTCCCCAGGTTGACATTTCCCCAATAGGTTCCTGAGTGCTCTTGTCATCTAGGTTTGCTAAAGACAAAAAAAGTATTTTGTGCTCAGAAAGTTCCTTCTCCTTGTCTGCCTACATGTGCAACTTGAATAAATACCATTGTACCTGCTTCTGTCTGCATCTCAAACTGCATGGTATAAAAGGCCACAACTTTCTACCCACCAGAAACGTTTATGGATAGACACTAAAATGAGATAAGGAGCACAGGAGAGGAAGAACTGGGCTTGTACGTCAGTTCTCAAGTCCTCGGGAGTTCCTAAATTAATTCTAAGAGTGGAAACATTAAGGTGTTTTAAAAATGCATTAAAAGTCACAGTCTTGCAGGCTATAGTGATTTGTTAAGTAAAAGTATTCTGTGTGCGGTTAACGGCATTGGTTTAGCGAATGTGTCTTCCAAAACCTTCGTGATCAAATATCATCCCTAGCCGCTGCTTTTTATCCCAGGCAATCTAGTGACTGGCATGTGTGGATGGAATGCTAGCTACCCCTAGAGGCAGTAAGGGAACATTGTCTCATGTTCATCCAAGTTTGTTATTGGTCTGAATGTATTTCGCCGCAGTCTGGTTCTGTGCTGCTGAAAAGTGTTTGTTGTTCTGCTCCTTTTCCCCTTGGCTAAGACATCAAGGGCCAGGAGTGAGACAATTGAATTGCTTTGAAACAGAATAGTTTTGGATAAAAACAAAGATGTATCTCAGTTATCATAATGAGATCATCCCAGATTATTCCCACATATACATGAGATTCCACAAATTGCAAATAAATAGTTTCTACAACATTATTAGAAAGTGCTTAAGCTTTTAACACTTGATAGCTCTTAGACCAAGTGTGTGGGCAGAAGGTAAATTAGTATATACTGGCCCATCTCCGGGTGATGTTCAGATGTTCAGCAAGGATTCTGGCTCACAGCAGCAACAACAACAAAAAATTCCATGCCCCCTTCTAAAATAGGCTGTTGAGATGAAGAAAGATTGGGGGAAAGGAAACCAGAAGTAGATTTTTGAGTGACATGATTATGAGCTCAATTTTGGTACTGGAAACCTATTCCTGTACCGAGCATATCCTTTTGTCTAAGAGTATGTTGCCTCCACCATTTTACACCTGTCCCCAGCTGGTGACTTTTGGGGCTTCAGGGAAGAAAACAAAAGTCGATCCTGCAACCCTGATGTCTGACCATTCCTGCCTTATGTTATCCAAAATGTATAAAATAATTGTATGGCTAGTTGTTGGAAATGTGGCAGGATTAGAGAATACCTTTTGGTCTGTTCGGCTGCATGGATACCTTGCCAGGAAATAACAGTCCTTGGGGAAGGAGAGTAGCTCTGTGGTAGAGCATCTCTGCCTTGCATGAAGGTGGTCTCAGATTCCATCTCCAGGTAGGGCTAGGAAAAGCCTGAAGTTCTGAGGAGCCACAGGCACAATGCAGACAATACTGAGCTTCCTATGCTCTTGAGTGATTCAAAAGATGACAAAATGTGTCCTATAAGTCATCGTTTGACCTATATAAAAGGAGTTGCTCTGAAAGATTTTTTAAAGCTACTTTTTCATGTGATAGTAGCAGCCCATGTCCTCTAGGCTAAATACTGGAAAAGGAAAGAAACAGCACAATTAAGGGAATGAGGTATGAAAATGTGGGGAATAGCAGAATAGCATCCTTGAGTACTACAGGTAAAACAGAAGAGGGTCAAAATGAACAAATTTGAGCCAAAGTAGCTCCCTACAGAAAGCCTAATAAAAGGCAAGCCTTTCCCTTATTATACATTTGTAGACAAGTATTTAGATTAGAACTAAGTATTAGGTTTATAATGCAAGAATTGTAAGAGTTAATGATGTATTAAATTTCTGAAAATATTCTGTGGGGTCTTTAACGATTTTGCATAGCATCTTACATTTGTATGGCGTTTTTAAGGTCTTTTGTATATTGATTTTGTGTAAGGATTCCGTACATTTGAAAAAGCTGAAGTTCCATTGCATGGTTCCGAGTAAGTGTTTGCAATTGTATCATTAAAGGATTCATTTGGAAGCAATAAGCATTATGGCTGGAATCCAACACAGTGCTAAATGAATGTTCTGTCAGTGCAAGGGTTTCCACTTGCGCAGTGAAATGTTCTCTCTCCCTCTCTTCCCCCTAGATGCCCCTTAGATCTGTTCTGGGGTTTCCTCCAAACCTCTGGAGCAGATTTGGGGAGGATATGTGTAGCAGGAGGAGATGGGGGAGGTTTCATTGCACAACAAGAAATCCATGTACTGATGGGATGTCGTAGTTGAATTGTATGTTTAAATTTATCTTAAGGTCTTACAATCATATAGAACTTGATGGGGGAAGGGAGGGGGCTTCTTCTACCGTAAGCTACTTTTGTCTTGCAGACTCTTTGAGTATCGGGGACGGGTGTCTCCCATTCCCAGGGTGGTTCCTGTGAAGCGTCCACGAGTGACCATCCCTTTGGTACGGCGCGTAAAAGCAACACTCCCAGTCAAACTCTTTGCCCGATCCACTGCCATTGCAAACAGCTCTGCCAAATTAAAATGTAAGCTTCTATGTTATTACACAGAGATAATTCATATTTCAAAGACAGGAGCTTGCCTTCAAAGCCTGCCTTTGCATTGTATTGTACGACATATGCTAACAATACTTTTGCAAGGCAACCCTGTTTACTGTATTTTACGTATGCATATCTTTATAAAAACACGGTGGTGGTTGGTGCCCCATTGGGACTGACAGGGCAGAAAGGAGGCAGAACAACAGCAAGTTGAACCAAAACCAATGACATGCAGAGCCAACTAATTCTAGTTCTGTCCATGCTGAGTTCTACAAAGGCAACACTGCAAAAAAGGAGGAAGGTGGTCTCTTGATCAGATCATTCCGCACCTGTCCACCACCAAAGTGATTTGTGTAAAGCATCTTTAAATGAAATGAGAATCCATTGCTAAATGTTCAAGGTTTGTATGTTAAAATTCTCAGGTTTGGCGGAGGGGGAGGGCGGTTTAAATATTTTTTTTAAAGTTACAATCCATGGTTACTTCCAAGCAATGTCATTCTCTTGCCAAAGTCATTATAGTCCAGAGCTTCCGTGCCTTTAATAAGCTGTGCCTGAGAATTGGGGCATTGATTGCTTGTCCCATTTATGGAGCACTAGGATGGGAGAAACTGTACCTGCCAAAATTCTCCTGTCTTCTTCACAGCTATGAAAGGCAAAGGAGACCTGTCCTATATTGAATCCAACAACCTTATATTGTGATGGCTCCCTAGTAGGACCTGCTACTGAAAGGTATATAAGGAAAAGAACTAAGTCTCTGCTCAAGAAAGGCACCACTTTTGCAAAATAAGAAAGAATAGTAAGCCTTGCTTCCAGCTTCTCTCTCTCTCTCTCTCTCTCTCTCTCTCCTCCAAGTGAAATGCAATGAACTGCAGACAATTAAAACGGAGTTGACGCAGATCAAATCCAACATTGATGCTCTCCTGGGCAGATTGGAGCAGATTGCAGAACAACAGAAAGCATCGGCAGGTCAGTGGGCCGATTCCAAATCTCTCGTCAATGAGGCCGAAACATTGCAGGAGTTCAGGTGCAGAGATTAACTCTGTGCCAGCTACCTAGCTGTCGCCAGCACTCCTTCACTTGGGGACCTGCATTCATTTATGTTTTTGCTGCTGTAATTCAGCAGCTGAGGCCACTGTATTATTCCAACATACTATTGTTTTTAAGTACAAGCTATTGTTTCTGAGGGACGCGGGTGGCGCTGTGGGTAAAACCTCAGTGCCTAGGACTTGCCGATCGTATGGTCGGCAGTTTGAATCCCCGCGGCAGGGTGAGCTCCCGTCGTTCGGTCCCAGCTCCTGCCCACCTAGCAGTTCGAAAGCACCCCCAAGTGCAAGTAGATAAATAGGTACCGCTCTATAGCGGGAAGGCAAACGGCGTTCCGTGTGCTGCGCTGGTGCTGGCTCGCCAGAGCAGCTTCATCACGCTGGCCACGTGACCCGGAAGTGTCTGCGGACAGCGTTGGCCCCCGGCCTCTTAAGTGAGATGGGCGCGCAACCCTAGAGTCGGACACGACTGGCCCGTACTGGCAGGGGTACCTTTACCTTTATTGTTTCTGAAGCATCTCAAAGATGAGGATATTCTGTTAGCGTTTTATCACAAAGGTTGCGATGGCAAGAGTTAAACAGAACAGCTTTTGGAAACCACACACACTAAGGATGTAAAAAGGCATCCCTTTCCTTTCTGTCCCATATTAATCACATGCAGCGTAGTTTCTGCTCTGCTGCAGTTTGTCTTCCACCGAAAACAATGTTATTTGCCTTACTGTCGACTGCGGCAAAATCATGTAATTTATGCAAGTTACATAAGTTGCATTGTCATTACATTATCCCACCACTTTAATGTCAGTGCACTGCAAATTGGTTGGCGTGGAATTAGTTATGTATCATTTGCAGACTGAAGGCAACAACGGTAGTGGATGGTGATTCGCTGGATTGATTTCCGTTCCAGACATGGGACAAATAAGCGAACATCAGCAATTTTCTGCTCCCGTTTCTGTGTACATTGGAATTCTGTGACATCTCTAACACACAAACAAACACAAGAGAAATATAACAGTAGACTTGGGAAGAGTTTGCAGGAGTACATAAAAGCTATAGGGGTGGAAACCCACAGGGAAGGGCAGTCCACCAGCCCCCATGAGGACTGAGCGTGTTCAATGGCCACAAACTCCTGTTGAGGAGGGGGGAAATGAAAGGGGGGGCAGTTAGCAGACTGACCAGTGAACAGGAGCAACCAACACTGCAAAAAGTTGTTGCAAGGCCCACTTGTTTTAATACAATGGTGCTTCCTGATTTGCACTGCAATCCTAACTATGTCTACTTAAAAGTAAGTCCTATAGAATTCCATGGGGCTTACTTCCAGATAAGTGGAGGTAGGATTGCAGCCATAGCCCTAAAAAGGTAGATTTTATAACACTTCCATAAGATGTTCAGGTTTTAACCCACGGTGTTGTTGCTCGTCCCGTCCCCTTGTATGGAAACCATGTCCATGGATTCTCCCACTCCTCCCACTGTAAATGGCGGCGGGGGGGAGGTTTCATCTCTCTAAACCTGGAATCAGCACCCCTGCCCAGCTCTCAGTAGGTGATCAAAGCTCCTCCCATACCCTCCTTACATCTGATCAAAGGCAGGATCTGTCACAAAGTTAAGAGATCCCAGACCACTGGTTAGTGTGAGCAACAATGAAATGATTCTGATTCAGAGTGTGGCCCAAATGGAGTGTCAATCTCTTGGGTTTGTCCCTTACTACATCTCATCCTGCAGAGGTCAGAAAGAAAGCAGATGGGAACAAAAGCGAGCTTTCCCAAGAAGACACAGCGTCTGAGGCAGAAATGAACGTAGAGGAGCCACTCAACGGCGAGGAGGGAGAAGAAGAAGGTCTCCTGAGAGATGACTGTGACGACGAATTGGTAGGAAACCATTGCTCTCCCACCCCTGTGGATTGATAAGCCTTGTACAATTTTGACAGTGTTCAGATTGCTGGCAAAAGCAATATTCTCTCCCCCTCCCCTCAAATAAATGGCAGTCTTTCATGCTGTGATCGGTTACAGCTGGGTTATCCGCTTTTCAGCCCATCCTGGAAGGTGGCCTTTCCAGGAAGCACCTGGCATGTTGATGCTCAGGAATGGGACCTGTCCTTCCGCATTCACATCAACAAATCCAGGCTTTCTCGGCTGTCAATCTCTGCCTAATGCAAAGAGCTTTGTTCCAAGAGAGTTTATTCTCAGATGTGTGACTGTCTGAATATGTGGCTGGAAAACATATCATAATAAGCTGTTGTAAATTCCCAACTCAGATTGCCTTGGGTCTGATCCAATGCAGCACATGCATAGATAGCCCTTTTAAAAATAAATAAATGTGAAACCAGCTATATAGCGATGAAGCAGGAGGCTGGAATTTCATACATATGCACACCATTCCCACTCCTGAAATACCACTCTTTTCTTTTTAAGATATTTCATGCTGGTTGCCAGTCAACTTTATTGTACATAGCCAAAGGCCTTTGCAATATATAAACTATAAAAAATTTCCAAGCAGTAGGTGAATTAAAGGAGAAACCTGCTATGGAAACTCACAGGGCAACTGTCAATAGCCATATATGCCACCCTCCAGGGGTAACAAAGCACTGGATTAATATTTATAATACATTATAATTCTCAAGATGGCTAAAATGCAGCATCTTAGCTGCCAATACAGAACCTTGGATGGGGAGGCCAACTGCGCATCGCCAAAGAAGGGGACAAAAGTAGAGACTTGCATAGAATTGCATATGCTAATCTCTATGTAGAAATGCAAATTTAGCCTAATTACTATAATTTAAACAGAAATACAATGCATCTCACCATTGTAGGGAAGACAGTTCCCATGTGACCTCTGTGCCAGCTCATTATGCTGTCCAGGTGCTGTTGGCGAGCCCACCCACTGTCTTTTCTGATGGCTTTTGATTTTTAAACTGAGAGAAGGCAGCCCTTCAAACAGAAGATGGTCCTCTCCAAAAAATGGGGGTGCATGGCTACTCTAGCCTTGAATCCTAGGCTGGAACTGAGAATCAGGCACTCGCAGCAGGATTCTCTCTCCAGCAAGGGATACGAATAAGCAAAAGGCTCCTCCTGCAGACGTCTAGCTTCCAGCTAGATCAGGACAAGTATCCAGGAGGTGGTAATGCCAGGCATCTGCCAAGGCCCATTTCATGTGTAGGGCTCACTGCCAATCCCTGGATGTTCTTAGTCCCATACGGGCAGGGGCCCTGCTGCTAACGTCTTGCCTGCCCACCCCACAAACTGGAACCAGCACCCCAAGTCTCTCTCTATCATGCTCTGTTTTTACTAGACCTGCAGATAATGCTCTGAAATTTGCAGTACCAAGCAAAAATAGCAGAAACCTGCTCCACAGGAACTACAAGGACCAGGGATTTCATCTTGGCTTGGCCACCCTTGTTTTGTGGAACAGTATCCCTGTGGTGCTATGGCAGCTTCCTGCTCTCTGTCCTTTCCAGAAACAATTGAAGACATTATAGTTTGGCATCTTTTTCCAGTTAGATGAAAAGGTCTCTTAGTTAGGTTTAAGAACAACACAAAATGAAAACCTATTTTCAGTCGCAGTTGGTTTGTGTGTGTTTATACTGTTTTTAAAATTATTTGCAGCAGATTATACGGCATGTTTGTAAATCACATTGAGTTGCATGTGAAAGGTTATCCATAGATTAACAAGCCATCATCATCATCATCCCAGTTGTAGCCACAACTATACCACTTAAATATTTTGAAAACTGGTTTAAAACCTTAGTAAGAAACATTTACAGCAGTGGCCATTTAACTTAAACAGACAGATAAGGACTCCAAATCAAAATGTTTATTCGGCTTTACGCCCATCATGAAACACAACACAACAAAACAAATCAAATCAAATCAAATAAAACAGAGGACTCGTACAAGCCACAAGTAGTATAACACAGTTCTCAACTCAGAAGGACAGATATTAGCCATTCATAGAAAAGTTTAAGATTAAGATTAAAAAAAATTTTTAGACACTACACTAAAATCAATATCTGATGTAATTATAGAAAATTCTTATAACTATCAATAATCAGCTAACATTCCATTCCGTCTCTTGTACGAGAGGACGGCTGTTAGGAATTTAGCAACCTGTAGGGTAATATAAGGATCCACATCTTGAAGAACCCAGGCCAGCTGTGGGTTTACTGATTTGTCAGCCATAGGCTGGATTATGGAGTTTAGTATACTAGCACGGGCTGAACTGTACAAAGGGCAGATAAACATAACATGATGTAGAGATTCAGATGTTTTCATTTCACACGCACACATTGGAGGGACTTGGCCCTTAGTGAACCTATGTCTCAGCACGTTTGTTGGAAAGACATTAAACCTAGCTCTAATGAAGGCATATCGGTGAGACGCGGCCGTAAGCGATGTTAAGTAGGACGGAGCGCGGTAGATAGGGGTTATGCCAAAATTTAACGGCGAGCAGACTCCACCACCAGCTACGAAATTTTGGTATAGCTCCACATCATCCAGCCTTTGATTTATACACCTTTTTGCCACATTTAGATCCAGTTTGAGCAATTCAGTGGGCGAGATCTCATAGGACAGCAATTTGGCATGGATTTTTCCTGACCACAAATTGGTGAAGTCATCTCGCCACATGCATTGAATGAGATAGTGGTTCGGGAATTTATGCCATAGGGATATCCAATAAATCAAAACTCTCCTCCATATAACTAACTCCACTGAGGGGATCTTCATTTCTAAGCGGATAGCCGCATTACTTACGCATGTTGGTAATTTTAGAAGTCGGCGTAAGAATTGGCTTTGAAGTGACTCTAAAGGTGAGAGATTTGCAAAGGCAGCCCATAAAGGTGCAGCATAGGCCATTGTGGCCATCACTTTGATGCTATACACTTTCAAGGCCGCAGGGATGAATAAGGCCCCCTCAGAGTAGAAAAAACGGAGGAGGGAGTGTGATAGGGCTTTTGTCTTGTTTTGAAGATATTCAACGTGCGCTTTCCACCCTAAATTATATTGAAAAGAAATTCCCTTTGGTGACTCCCTTTGGTGGCATGCTGCAGCTGATCCCACCCACCTCTTTAGCCCTGCATGGACATTTGGGCGCATGGAATGAATGTGTGCATGGCATGGAACTAGCAGGCTCTGCCCTGCATGTGTTCCATCATATGTCCTGTTTGTGGAAATGCCACAAGCACATCAGATTTGCAAAAGAGTGTGTTCTGCAGATCCTGCCATGGTTTCACTCTGTGCACATAAATTGAACATGCAGGGCCCGCAGCTGAACATCTGACTCATCATTATTATCGTGAGCTATCCTTTGATCTCATTTCCAATAAAATCTCCAACTGCGCCTGCACACACACACACACACACACACAGAGAGAGAGAGAGAGAGAGAGAGAGAGAGAGAGAGAACGAGAACTGCTCTCTATAACCAAATCACATTAAATGTTAAACCCAGTTCAGCAAATTATTGCCTTTCTGCAATTTGGTTTATACACTTGTCAGCGAGCAATCTTGAAAGTTGTATACATTGAAATAACACATGCAATACAAAGTTTAGAGGGGCCATAATTCCAGAACGTGCATCTTTCTTCATTCACTGAAAGCCACTGTGGCACACTGGAGAAAATCTCAGTGACTTTTCCGTGGAAGGTCAGTCACTACCCTACCTTGCTAAGCTGTTATGCAGACACAGTACGGGCGGCTGCTGCTGGTGGTGTTGCATTAACCAAATTAAGCATTGCTACAGCATGAAATGTCACTGTGAATAATCAGCTGCCAAACCAGGGCCCAAGTATTTGAACCAATAATTCCAAAGATGTGTAATGATTGGGGGATTGAAATTTAATGCATGATTTAATAGTGTTCAAGAGGAACAAGCTATAAAAATTCATGGAAACTTCTTTGGACCCAGCCCTGCTTGCTCAACAAATTCCCAAGCTGTTTTAAAGTACTGGTATCATCACTTAGCAATGATTTCTAGAGCATTTGCCCGTGCGCAGAGTATTTTATAACTCCCATCTCATGTATCATATTTCCCCCTACAAGAAGCTCTTCTCAGGGCATTCTGCTCAGATTATTAATTCAGATACTTCTGAGCTGCAATTTGATGTTACTAATGCTGAACTAATGCTCCAGCATCACTTTTATTAGTAATGAATGCTTACAGAACTAGGTATTTGCCAGTTTTCACAAAGGCTGACAATGTGGCACCCACGTGGTCAGAGAAGCCTTCTTGGGCACCTACAGAGTCCACCCCCCTTTGAAATTAGGCTAGAAAGAAAATTCAGCTGCAGTCAATATAATAGATTGTGGGCACCACATACATACTGCAACCAAGCACACACCGCAACCATTTCTCTGCTTTACAAATGGGCCTATGCACCCAAAAGAAATTGGCAACAACCCAACCTCATAGACACTTGGGCTGTAGTCCTATACACACTTACCTGGGAATGAGCCCACCTGAATTCAGTAAGGGCTCTGAGTAGCCATGTATAAGATATCACTGTTAGGGTTATTTATTTCCAATACATGTAACCCTTATCCTAGCAACAGCTCAAAAAGAGAACCAAATAATCTCCTCCCCCTTTTTCTTCTCTTTCAGGAGAATAGCCATTACACAGATGTGGAGGACTCCAGCCTACAGTAACTAGGTATATTTACGAGCATATATAATTTGTTTTTCTCAAAAAAAATATAATGAACGGTGCATATTTGTATATAGTCAATTTGGCAAGCTTAATTTCAACAGTGTTGCCCCTTTTTTGCAAATTTGCTGCTCTTTGATTTTAGTCAAAGACCGTACAGGCCAGGGATGAGGAAACTGGGGCCCTCCAGATGTTGCTGGGCCCTCAACTCTCATAATCTCCAGCCATCAAGGCCAAGAAATGGTGGGAGTTGGAACAACATCTGGAAGACAACAGGTTCCCCATCCCTGGTGCCAGAATACACCCACAGACCCACGGCTGATTTGGGCCATTTTTTTCTCCAATCCTCCAGAGCAGATCTGGAGGATGCATAGGGCTGTAAGGTGGAGGAGAGGAAGGGGAAGCCCTGGTGCATGAGTGGAAGTCTTCTAGTGCAATGCTGGGCTGTTCATTGGGACTGGAAGGGAAAAAGACATGGAGGCCAACTGTAGGTAGAGCCAGAGTCAATGGCAAACAGAGCCAACTAGTTTTAGTTTTGTCCCCATCCTCCTTCCTGTTGAGTTCAGCAGACATTAGGGGGAAGCAGACAACCAGTGGCACCCCCTGGAGTGGTTGTAAGGAAGATGGCAGGCATGAGGGGCTAGAAGCAGACTGAGGTTGGTGGAGCACTGCCCCATTCACCCTGATGGATGAATTCCACCCTTTAAATTTAACAGCCCCCACCTTATTTCTGATAGTGACTTTCCAGGGGTTCAGACAATAATCTTTCTCAGACCTACCTGGAAATGGCATGGATTTAACATGGGACCTTCTGCATGCAGAACATGTGCCCTCCTGCTGAGATATGACCCTTTCCGCCAATAAATGCCTTCAACAGTTGAGCATGAATCACAGAGAAGTTATTCAGTCTATCTGTTTACTCTTTTCCCTGTTCCTCCCCACCCCCTAGCATAATCAGCGCAACAGCGATGAAGAGAGGGAGGAGAGCAAGAGGTTCAATCCTGCCTTGGCATGTTGAGCCAGATAAGCATAACATGCAGGACTGCCATCATCTCTCTGCCTGGCATTCAAAAGGAGAAACATGGACCAATCTCTCCAAGCCGTTTTGTAGTACACAGCAAACTAGCCATCCCAGTGGATCCTCATCAATGCCCATCAAACCCACCCTTGTACTACAGACTTAGAGCCCTGCTGCCAGCACAAGCACCCGTCGTTCCATGATCTCAACAGCCGATATTGGAACTGATTTCTTATACCTGGAAAGGAAAGCGAGAGAGATACTATATAAAGAGCCTTGCTCCTGAGACACGATGAGGACAGGATGCAGAAAGTGAAGAGAAAGAAAACTATTTCACTATGTACAATTTACAGTTTTGCATTTGAAATCCAGGTCATGACCGGGATAGCCAGGGGTGCCTCCTCCTAGTCCATTTACCTCCTCCTAGGTAGCTTTAGTCCCGCTCCACCCTGCAGACTATGGCATTTCAGACATGCCCTTTGTCATTCGTGGTGTGCCCTTTGGAAAGAAGAACAGAGAACCTGGCTATTTACAGACCATTCTGTACAGGAGCAACAAACCGCCTTTTCTTCATCCAGTTTCCTAAGCATCAGCAATGGTGAAGACAGGTGGTAGGTCTGTACTGTACACACGTGTGAGTATGGTGTGAGGTTACCATAGAGGATACAATAAGAGATAAGCATTTCAGAATAAGGGATTATTGGAGTCTTTGCTTTACAGCCCATGCGCTTCATCAAAGTTCCATAAGCCATTTATTTGCTCTTTATAAAAATAAGGTCAAATCAGGTCCAAAAGGGAAGGTAAAAGATGAGATGGTCAGATGGCAATCCGTCCAAAAAAACAAGACTCGTATAACACCTGAAATCAATTGCATTTCCGATCTAAGAGAGGAAAAACAATTTCATTTTTGTTTAAGGATAGAGGCCTGAAGGTTTCCTGGGGTAGCTCAGCCAGTAGAGCATGAGCCCCATGTTGGGCAAAAGATTCCTGCACTGCGAGGGGTTGGACTATATGACCCTCATGGTCCCTTCCAATTCTATGATTCTAATCTGCTTGTCTAAACCACAGAGCCTAGGGCTTGCCGATCAGAAGGTTGGCAGTTCAAATCCCTGCAAGGGGGTGAGCTTCCATTGCTCAGTCCCTGCTCCTGCCAACCTAGCAGTTCGAAAGCACGTCAGAGTGCAAGTAGATAAATAGATACGGCTCCAGCGGGAGAAGGTAAACAGCATTTCCATGCACTGCTCTGGTTCACCAGAAGCAGCTTAGTCATGCTGGCCACATGACCCGGAAGCTGTCTGCGGACAAACACCGGCTCCCTCGGCCAGTAAAGCGAGATGAGCGCCGCAACCCCCGAGTCATCTGCAACTGGACCTAACAGTCAGGGGTCCCTTTACCTTTAATCTGCTTCCTTTCATCCCTGCTCTAAAATGCAGGTGCTTTCAGCCCACTCACACCCGTAATGACAAAAGGTATGCAATGTATGTTGTGCAGCTGATTAAGTTGAAATATTGCATATTATTATCATTATTATTATTTTGCAATGTTCCCTTCTGTGATCTAATCCTCTCTAAAACAGTCTACTCATCGCCAACTTCGGCAAGAGATGGTGTGGTGTTGGCTTTACAGCATGACTCTGTCCTAGAGACTGGCTCAGAAAAGGAGAGAACAGCATTGTTGTATAAGCCACTTCCATAAGACCTTGGGTTCTCAACTTTTAAAAAAAAGATTTCTGCTGGAAAACATCCCACCAGACTGCATCTCTTCCTTAGGGCTTGTTAACAGAGGGTCATGGCTCTCAAAGCACAACAACATACATCAGCTTTTTTGTTGAAAATACATCCTGGAGAGCAAAAAAGGGGCACTTGTTTTGTTTTTCTCCGCTTTGTTTTTCTATTGCCTTTTCTCTTCTGCGCCTCCTGCAAAGTTTGGCCACTTTGTTGTACTGAGCTATTTTAGAACTGCTTTCTAGGCTTTGTTTTGCTATGATCCAACCACAAGACTGGGGTATGGAAGGAAGGGGGGGCTTTGTATATAAAATCCTGTATAATAAAAGGAAGAACTTGATTCGTCATGTAGTCTTGCTCTACTTTTCTTAAGTTCCTTAAATAGGCTCTGTTTTACTGCTACCTGTGAAAGTCTTAGTCTTCCAACTAGAAACAGAAACTGATTTCAAAGTATGTCTACATCACATCGAGTATTTGTTTTGGTTCATATTGCTTAATTCACATTGCTTAAATTGTTTGTTGCCCTTGCTGCAAACTGAAAGTGCTGAAAGCTTGTCCTGGTGAATAGCATGGGTCTATGTGCCTGTTAAAAGAGCCATAGATCTGCAGCATCAAGCATAAGCAAGTATCTGTAGCGCAGGAGCCTGCCACCTGCACAAACCCCTGCTGCGCTCATGCCACACAGGGGGAAATCAATCCACACATGTTAAGTCTAAAGTCTGCCTCAGTCAAACAGTCTGCCACATAGGAGCTAGTTCTGAACCGAACAAGAATTCACTTAGGGGGCTATAATCCTGTTCCAGAGCTTATTCGCATAAAATCTCCATTAACACATTCTGAGGCTTCATACATATAGTGCACTAAGCCAAACCATGAGTTAGTGCAAGTTTGCAGGATCTCAGAGAGGAGATCGCAACTGCTACGCTGCTCCTGTCTGGTAGCTTTGCTGCTGTGACATGCTAAAATAATCCATGGCTTGTTTGGCTTAGCGTGTTCAAACTCATGCTCATGGTTTAGCTCTTTCCAGACAAACTATGAGTTTGTCCAGGGGAACTAAGCTATTAGCCTGGGTTCAAACATTCGAATATTGAAGTGGAAAGCAGAGTTTTGGAGTGTTCTGAGCAGTATACATAAACGGTCTGCAAACAGCAAGTTGCAATTTACAAATACAATCAGATTGGCTCTCCGCTGTGCTCACTCAACAATCCCAGCCTTTCAGAACTTGCTAAAAATTACCAAAATGTTTTGGGGGTCAGGACCAGCACTACTATTATGCAAAGTGAGACAGCTCTGTCAGGCAGCAAATGCTGCGGTTTGGGGGCAGTGGCGGACGCTGAACTCCATAATGCAAGGGGTAGGAATAGTTCAGGCTGGCGGGATCTACCCTGCCTTATTAGAAGCAAACCAGAGTCAAGTACAAAATAGTGACAGAAGTGAACATACTCTCAGACTTAAGGAACAGGGGGCCTCTGAGCATATACTCAGTCCAGGGATCTGTGTCAGTACCAGAACTGAGCAGTCCTCACACAAAAATCCACACCCAGCTCTCTTCTTCCCCCTGCCTCCCCTCCCCCCTTTCTTCATCTGTACAGTGGTACCTCAGGTTAAGTACTTAGTTCGTTCCGGAGGTCCGTTCTTAACCTGAAGCACCACTTTAGCTAATGGGGCCTCCTGCTGCTGCCGTGCCGCCGGAGCACGATTTCTGTTCTCATCCTGAAGCAAAGTTCTTAACCTGAAGCACTATTTCTGGGTTAGCGGAGTCTGTAACCTGAAGCGTATATAACCTGAAGCATATGTAACCTGAGGTACCACTGTATAGCTTAATTGGGGGGGGAGGGGGACTTTTTTCTTTTTACTATTGCTACATAATTGAGACAGAATCCTTGATCTAATGCAAACCACTAGGAAGTCCCAATGTACCTTCTGCCCACCACTCTTCATAAAGTTACAAGGTGCTGCCAGTGGTGGCAGGATCCATGCACACACACTACTAATACTAGCACAGAATTTTCAAGATCCCAGCCGAGATTAATCCAAGCTAGAAGTGACTCAAGATGGCGTTTATACCCAAGGTCCCTAAGCAAACTCTTGCTCAGGCACTGATCTGATCCAGATCTGTGTGGCTTCAGCAAAGTTGCTGCATCCTGCGCCTTTGGACTTCTACCCCAAACATCAAAAATCTATTTGTGCTCTATATGCCACCAGAAGGCATGTTTCCTTGTCCCTATGCACACAATGACTAGTTGTTAAACTGAAGAAGCAAGGCTATAGAAGGGGAGCGGTAAATGTAGATGGGGTTCATAAAAGTGTCCTATGAAGACAACCACAATGCCACAGTAATGTTACACAAGAGGCACTGATCTTGGCTTTACTAACTTTTGAAGATACATCTATCATAAGGTTACCAGACGTCCCCAGATTTACAAACCAGTCCCCATACAAAATCCATTGACATTGAAAAGTATCCCCGGATTCATTGGAAAAAATCTGGTAACCTTAATCTATCATTCATTACAGTTCAGATGCTATTTAAAAACATTTTCCTTTCTTTTTTACAAAACAAAACATGACTTTAGACTTTACTGTTCTCAAGTCTTTGCAGAGAAAATAAAAATGATTTGGTAGCAAAACTGACCTGTGCGATGGTACACATACAAATTAAAATTCAAAAACAGACTGTGTTCAAACGTTAAAACGTTGGAGGGGTCTGCAAAAACAGCCGGCCCCAGCTTGCTTTATATGGCTAACCCAGCTGCTATGGCTAATACTGTGGATACATGCTACTCCTTCAAAGTATAGGACTCACCACAAATGCCCGCAAAGCACATACATATCACTGATTTATCCTCTTCCCTTTACTGTGGATTAAAATTGTCAGTTGCACAGCAAGGCCCTGTAGTGTAATGAAGAGCGACTCTTTCCCCAATGCCCCTGAACATTTAAATTGCTTGAACCGTTATTTGTAAAATACTAAAACTTTAGAATCCAGCCCTGCTGGTTCAGAACAGCCTGTCTAATCTACTGTCCTGCTTCTCACACTGCTAAACAGATGCCTCTTGGGAAGCCCACTGGCTGGTCAAAAGACCAATAGCCTTCACCTGCTGCTGTTCCCAAGCAACTGCTGTTCAAATGCATAGTGTCACGCAGCCATCGTGACCAGTGGCCATTGCAAAAGCCTTAACTACTACTAAGTTACTTAACCACCTTTTAGTCACCAGCACGATTTACAGATTTCCGACATTTATTCAAGGGGTGAGGAGCCTATGAACCTTCAGGTGATGTTGGGCCGCAACTCCCTTCAGAGCCAGCCATTCAGGGATGAGGGAAGCTGTGGTCCAGCACTTGGGAGACACATTGCAGGGGGTGGGACGAGATGACCACATGGGTGGACACTTCCAACTCTACAATTCCATCCCTTGTTCATGTCCCGGGCATTACTTTCGTTTGGGGATTCAGAACAATCTTCAGGCTTTATCAATATGCTCCAGCTTAGTATTATGTGAGAGAAAACTTTTCTATCCATATTATTCTAACATATCTCTTACCTTTTTAAACGCCCTGAAGACTGTACCCTTCACTTGGCAAGCTCAATTTGGGTTGCCCTGTTCTTCACATTTCCAAGCACTACAACTTCCTTTGAGACACAGTGACCACAACTTGCACAGCATTTCCAAGCATGGTCACACCACAGATCTGTATAAAGGCATTATAATATCGGTAGTTTAATTTCAGTCCCCTCTTCTAATGAACGTGCTTCTTTTCAGTTGCCAGTTTTCACTGAACTATCCACAATGATCCCATAATCCCAATCCAATATATGCTCCCTAAAAACTCAGAACCCGTCACAGGCATATGAAGATTGAACTATTCTGCCCCAATGCACACCACTTTATAGACTGAACCACATTTGCCATTTTAACAAATAGTTTGGAGATACCCTTTTTGATGCTCTTCTGTTTTGACCCTCCTCAATAATTTAGAATCATGAGCAAACTTGTGACCTCACTGCCAGGTTCTTTATGAGAAAAGTTTAAAAAGCACCAGTACTGATACATATTCTTGAGGAACTATATATTCTCACTCCCTGCTTCCTATTCTACCAGTTACTGATCCGTAAGACAATGCACCCCTTACTGCATGACTACAAGTTTACACTTACCTGGGAATAAGTCCCACTGAATTCAACTAGAGCTGGTTTGGAATAAGCATGTGTAGGTTTGTGCTGTCAGGCATCTTTGTGAACGTCTTGGACAGGTACAGTCTTCTGGAGCATTCTTATCCACACACTTATTAATACT